GAGATTAAATCCAACTTCTAGATCCTTTATTCACGAACTAATCTGCAACTCTGATCAGTAGACAAAAGTGGAAACTGGTTTCTCTCTCTTGGCCTTTTGTACACATAAAACTTTTACGTGTTGTATCATTAATTGTACATAATTGATGGAGTATATGCACTTTTATAAAGGCAGAGAGAGGACCAGTTTTCCTTATAGTAACATAATTCTACTTTCCATCAAAGTAAGGAATAAGAAAGGAAAACACTTCTCCAATAAGTAATTACCAAAAAGTAATTATAAGTTGACCAAAAATAAATAATATTAATTGATATCTATTTACTTACCCACCAAGTAATATGTCACATGTCCAAATCATGTGGGCCACAATTAAATAAATAATCTTACAGCACAACCTGCACCGATGATGATACATTTTTCCTCCTTATCCTCGTACCATAAACAAAACAATGCAATGTTTTGTCCACTTCATTTATTATCCCTTGTGACTTTTTACAGCAAAGACATATAATTCAATGAATTGTGTGTGATATGGAGCAAATTATTGTAGATTTTTAAACTGTGTCACTAAAATGCAAGGGTAAGTTTTGGTGGTGAGAAACTTTGTACATATATGCTACTGAGGATCTAAATAAGATACACTAAAAAAAAAAAAAGATATACTGAAAAGAGAAGAAATAATATAAAGCTCATTTCTCTCTTTCTTCCTTCTCATCTTTTATATTTTTTTCTCTATATTTGTTCTATATTTATAAAACGTTATTAGAAGAAAAAAATATATATTTTTCTTTCTTGCTTTGAATTTATTGCCCTTGATTTTTCAGACAAAAACTACCTATCATGGATCCTTGATGCCGAGATTCATCTCGATGCCATGGATCTTGGACATATAATTAAAGTAGACAATAAAACGTCCTTGCAGGACTGTACAATAGTAATGATTTTCCTTCGACATCATTTACATGACGAATTAAAAACTGAGTACCTATCTGTTAAAGACCCACTCATCTTATGAAATGATTTAAAAGAACGATATGAGTATCAGAAAACTGTATTTCTTCCAAAAGTTCGATTTGACTGAAAACATCTGCGATTGCAGGATTTTAAAACTATAAGGACCTGTTTACTAACGCTTTTACTTTTTTATTTTTACTTTCTTCAAAAGTAAAATCATACTTTTACTTTTTAGAGATGAAATAGAAAGTAAAATCGTGTTTAATACGAAAATTTTATTTTTAATATTTTGAAAGTAAAAATCAAAAAGGAAGTTTAGTAATTTTAATTTTGCTTCTTTTACCTTTCTCTCTCTATATTTTTTTTTCTTTCTCTAACTGGGTCTCTCAATGCCGGATGAACTTGGTCATATCCGGTGAGCCATTAGTCAATCCATCGTCTAAGCCCGTACCCAGAGCTATACCCCTTGCATAGCACGCACCGTAAAACAGACTAATAGAGTGAATCAGACAAGCTGCAGGTATGGGGGTCAACTTTCTTTTTTGACAGGCGAAGTGATGTTGAAGTTGAATGAATTTCTTGTAGAGTTGTTCGCTTCCTTAGCGCATTTCCATTACAGAAAGGGAGTGGAATCAGATTGTGCCTTTCAAGAATGAATTTCCATTTGAATATTTCTATAATGAATTTCCATTTTTGAACCTGATGAGGGCAGGTGAGAACTCGCTCTCACGATCTCTATTCTTGGGAAGAAAGGGAGTGGAATCAGATTGTGCCTTTCGAGAATGAATTTCCATTTGAATCTTTCTATTTCTGGTATTTTTGGACCTGGAAGGTCTAATCTTTAGGGATCAAAATCAAAAGCTGACTTTTCATATCTTTTCTTTTTCAACGATTTTTGACTTTTGAAAGCAGAGTAGAAGAAGATTGTCACAGCCATTTATGTCTTCTCTCACCTCTCATCGAATGCGACTTGAACTCCATCGGCGGCGGCGGCATTTGAGACCACCAGGGTCTCCGATTCGGCAGAGAATTCCGTTGATTTTTACTTCTTTGAGGAGGAATTTCATATTGACCTTGCTCTTTCAAAACGATGAAGGGTTTCAGTTTTCGACAGTGTTTGGTAGTGTTTGGAGAGAGAGAGAGAAGCGATGATGGTGGTGGTTGTCGGCAATGGCGGTGGTGACGGTGTTTGTCGACGGCGAGGAGGTGGCAGTGGCAATGACCGTGGTCGAGAGGAGGTGATACAGATGATTAGTTAGGATATATATATATATATATATATATATATATATATATATATATTATATCAATGCTACAGTAGAGGAAGTGATTTCTACAAACAATGTAGAAAATATAGAAAGTGAGGATCTTCACAAAATCAGGAATTACTTTCTTAAAACAAAAAAGTGAAAGTATTTTATTAAACACAATTTTTACTTTTGATTCTCAATTTTAGGAATTGACAGCAGAAATCAGGAATCATTTTTGTTAGTAAACAGGCCCTAAGTGAATTATATTTTTTTTCAAAATCAGCCACAATTAATTTTATGTGGAGAAAAAATTATTTACTAGGACATGATAGAAAAACATTATCCAAATTTTATGTTTCGAATGTGCTCTTGCAACAACAGTATAGAAAGCGTCAATTTACCAAATATTCTAAGCTGATTTCGTATTTATTGTAACTGAACAAAATAATAAGTTTTTGTTGAAAAATTACCACTACATTTAGTCTCCAATTTGGTTCCTCAATACGTACAACAAATGTAGCGGTCTAATGTCAATTTTGAATAGAAACATAAAATGATGATCACCGGAAATCTTTGTTGAAATTGAGAGAAAAGAAAAGGGTAAGAAAATTATAATAATGAAATATCTTTGTTTCTCAAGCGTTGGGAAATTGTGGATAAGCCAAACACTCTACGGAACTTAGGCGTTGACATTTTAAAACTTTTTCCCTATGAAGTTAAACGTGGTTATTTTTTGTCAAGAGCCATGGGATGATTAATCAAGCTTAAGGTGGCCCGCGACCTAATGGGTGGCTTGACCCCTGAAGGGCAAGCCTGGCCCAGCCCTATAAGATGGTGGGACAAGCCTGGTATAGGTCTTGGCCCACTGCCTAGTTCGTAAGCTAGCCAACCAAGACTCGTAAGCCCATCCACCGAGGCCCATGATATCTTTTCAAAAAAAGGATAAAATACGCTAACACCCCTTCAGATTTGGTAAAAGAACACGCAAATGAAGGTTACTTATTTTTGGGACAATGACATCCCCTTGAAAAAATTCCATCCAAACAAGGCCTTAAATTATATGAAAAGACAAAATTACTCCTTAATATTAAATTCAGATTTATTGTAAAATATAATAGTTGTCAAAATAACGCAATTACCCCTAAATGTTTAGCGCACAAGCACTTGAATGTTGAAGTTCTCTTTTTCTTTTCCATTCTTGTGATATTGTTCGAGGAATTGTATTTGTTCTCCTTGGAGTGGCGTTAGCTATTTTTTGCCTTTTCCTGATGACGTCCTTTTTATTTTTATCTTCAGTGAAGATGAGAAGCCAGATTAATTATTATATTTCTCTGTCCTAGTAAAGAAATGCCAGTTGAAATCTTCGGGAACTGCCTATTGCTTCAAATTTCATTGTGACATAATTTCTTCTTGTTGGAGGAATTGCTTTTTTTGATGCAAGAAAGCAAAAAGTTGGCAAATGTTTTTATACACAAAATTTTCGATCTGCCTGCTTGCTGCAGATTATTGAGCAGTTCCAGAAGTGTCATTTGGATCACCCTATTGCAAAATTTCTAGCATTGTGGCTGTTTGTTTGGGGTAGTTTCGTTCAATTTATTAGCTTGTAAAGTTATAACGGTCAACTAAATGGTCAAAGGGTAATTTGGTCAATTTTTCATGCCGGTTGGTTTTAAGGGGTGTCTTTGTCCACTTTTTAATCTTAAGGGGTCCCTTTTCAATCTTAAGGGGTTTCATTGTCTCAAAAACATGTAACTTTCATCTGAATGTCCTTTTGACAAATCTTAAGGAGTGTTGATATACTTTACCCTTTTAAAAAAAGATGTATAATATATAGATATATATATTGATACCTCTTTATATAATAACTACAAAAAAAAAAAAAAAAAAAAAAAGCAGCGAGTAATGTTATTCCCAAAAATTGTTAGTTGTTTTTGGTGTTTTTTTCGCAACTATTTATCTATTAGACTATTACAAGTAAAGATGTCACGGTCAATATGTACTCATATTGAACTTTTTATATACGTGGGTTTTAAATGACACCATAGTTAATCTATTACAAACTTTCAACAATTTTTCCGGGTAAAAATGTTTGAATATACCACCATAATAGATAACATATGCAAATGAAATTATTCATTTAATTGAGCTTAGTAGAGCGAAATTTGTGTTGGATCATAGTTACCTTCCATGTTTGGAAGAGGTAGCCAATGCTGACTATGTATTTTGATCTGTTAATAATAGGTTTTTATTTTTTTATTTATTTTTTATTTTTGGGTAAGTGATTTGTTAATAATTGTTTATTCTTGTTTTTGGATAAAACAAAATTTCATGAATAATGTGGATAAAGGTTTGTTGTTTTGATAAGAATTTTTAAAAAGCCAATATGAGTTGATAAAAGGTTTGACCAACATTCCCAAATAATTAATCTACATGCTCATCAAAAGATCATCAGCAAATAAGTTATATATGGATTCATATCAAGTATGACAAGAAACTAAAATGACATGTTTGATTTAGTTTTCTCATTTTTAGTTAACAAATTTTAATTTAAAAAGATTTGTTTTCAGTTTCTTCTATAGTTTTATTTCTATTTTTGAGTGGTACCACCAAATACCCCCAATGCTTTCGAAAGTTTATTTATAATAATGCTTTTAAAGTGTACGAAATGCGAATGTCGTAACAATCAAAATTATTTTGACAATATTAATAACCTTTTCACTATTCTGGATGTACAATGCAATTTCGGTAGTAATATTCCATTTCAGCTGGAAAACGTAGTTAGATGTTTAGGGCAGTATAAGTGATCAAGGGGTAGTAACTCATATTACGGGAGGAAACTTTGCACAGAGTTCCATTACTGTTAATGGGTGGCTCCGCGATTTCTTATGGGCGCAGGCATCTCAGGTAATTCAGTCTTATGGTTCTTCATTATCTGCATATGGCCTTGTTCTTACATAAATATGACAACAGTTTAAAGTGCTTTTTTTTTTTTTTTTTGGGAGGGGGAATGGGACATATAATAGTCTTGTGGTTAATTTGTATTTCTGCTCACAACATATGATACAGGTAAATAGAGTTTAATTTTCATAAAATTTAGAGGGAAGGCGTGGGGTGATGACAACTTCCAGTGGGGTTGGCTTAGGCATCGGAATACCCAAGCCTTCAGTCATGTCCACAAGTTCACCATTTGGTGTAGTGAAGTTGAACCCCTGAAGCAATCGAGCCAATGTCAAGTGTGTTACTTGCAAGGCAAATGAGATCCCGGGGCAAGATCGCCTACCGGAGCCAAATGGGATGAACTCAAAATGATGACCACCAAAATCTACCGCTGTGTGGGTTGTCAGAAACTTCTCCGGCATGAATTTGTCAGGGTCCGTCCACACACGAGGATCTCGGTGAAGCTTCCACATATTTACTAGCAAACGGGTGTTCTTATGTGGTACTGATGAGGGAGCTGCTGGGTATAGACGTAAAGTTTCTTTGACAATTGCTTGGAGGTAGACTAAGTTCTTGATGTCGGATTCTTCTACCCGTCTCTCTGTGCCAACTTTGTAGTCTATCTCTTCTTGGGCATGCTTCATAGTGTGATTATTGTTCAATAAGATGGACAAGAGCCATGTGGTGTCTGAGCCTGCTAAGATGAGGACCTTCAGGGCAAGAATGTTAGAAACATAATAAGAAGCAGATACATCAAATCTATGCTATATGTGTCTTTTGATATATTTGTATACACAAACAAACACCAATCAAAAACCAAGAAATGTGCTTCCCAACTATTTGGGGTTGGCTTCTATGGATCAAGTACTATTTTATATAACAGCTAGCCTCATAGTACTGTGCCAAAATAAGAAGAAGATTTGGACTCTGTATGATCATGTTAAGATTTGGAAATTTTGGTTAGGGATGAAAATGAGTCAGGGTTAACACTTGTCTCTAGTTTTTTTAGGTCTTTGCCTCAATTTTTCATCTAAATAATGAATTAAGTTAAAACTTCCGAATTTTCAGTACTATTTACCTTTTCATACGACTGATGAAGCCAACAGTTTTTATACGAATATATAGAGCCATGCGATTCAAAGTAAATAGTGACTTCGAATAGTCTGATGTAATTAATTACTACTTTCAGATGTCTTAAACTGAATATTTATCTTTCATATAGTTTCCTTGATAACAGTTTACTTTGCGTGGCCATAAAAGAATTCATCATCAATTGCAGAGAGCATCACATCTATGAATTCCTGCTCATCACCCCTCTCACTCCCAATTCCCTTGTGAAAATGTTCTTGAACCCAACTCTCAAAAAAAGAATCCAATTCTCTTCCAGTTCTCTTCATGGTCTTCAAGTCTCCTAGCACATCATCAATCCATCTAAACAATGGAAATGGAATTGCATCTGACAATGCACGGGCTGGCCCTGAGATTGAAAATTTTTTTAGAGATCCTAGGCGAACTTTAATTGTGAGGCCCTTGAATAAATTCTTCTTCTCTCTTCTCTTTTTTATTTTATTTTATTTTTCTTTTTCATGCCCAGATTCAAATTTTGTTGTAGACATAATTGTCAAAAAGAAAAAAAGAAAAAAAAAACAGAAATAGAAGTTATATAAATAAAAAAATGTTTGTTTTGCTGAAAAAAAATATATATTACTTAAATGCAATGCAATGAATTGATCCAAGTTGTTGAAATAAAATATAGATATTACCTCAATGCAATGATTTGTTTTTCTAATTTATTTGTCCTTAAGACTCCAAGTGAAGGATTGCTGGATTGGAATACCGTATTACAACAAATTCATTTGTCAAATAATAATTCTATAATAACTTCTAACTTTATGCATTCTAATTTATGAAAATCCGAGACAAGAAACTGAGGAGCCAACAACCAAGATTGTTCTGTATTTTTTTTCGAAAAGTAAGAATGTTCTGTGTTTGGTTTGCACTTAACTGTATAGTGTGATGTTCATATGTATATAATATATACCAAGAGATTTGACTACTCAAAGGGCAGAAAACATATAAATAAATTTTTTGTTATCAAACGTGGAACAAATATATGAGGTTGTGTGCCCCTTTAAAGAAAAAGGCAAAACGAGAAAAGAAGAGGCAAAAGGCATATGATGATTATATGATTCATATTAAATTTTGTCAATGAGATTCTAAGATGACTAAAATTTGAGGCCTTTTCGAGTTTTAAGTTAATTGTCTTAATTTTTTTTTTTTTTAAGTCCATCATCAACGGGCTTGCAAAATTTGAGGCCGTATAAATTTTGAGGCTCTAGGCGACCGCCTTGGGCCAACCGTGACAAAACAAATGCCTAGCCTACATCAATAAATTCCTTAATTACTCTGCTAAAATTTATTGTCCGCAGAATATTTCTTACCTGCAATTATCTTCACAACAATATTCAAAGTAAAATGTTCAAGCCACTCCCTGATCAACACCCTCCTCTTGTTGCTCTTCTTGACAAGCAAGTGTTTCGAGACTCGGACGTGCCTGTTGTCACGAGGAGTGTTGAAATTAGTACACTTACCGAAAACTTATATAATTAGGATAAATTGTTATATGAAATATAAAAATACGCCTCAAAATTAAAACGAAATTTATGGAGAAAATTATGAAACATAAAAATATGCCTCAAAATAAAAAAGAAAAAGAAAAAAGAAGACGACAAAGTAGTGAATTGAAGCAAGTGCAACTCAGGCATTGTTTGCTTCAATTTAATGTATTGCAATAAAGGCTGTACCATGATTAAATTGAGGCTGTAGTATGTACCATATCTGGTATATAAAAGCAAACAAAATAAATGGGCACATCAAACAAAATAAGTGTGACATTTTAAATCTTTTTTCCCTGTGAAGTTTAAAGACGAAAAGTGATATGAGTTTTCCAAAAGCACAAACGAGTGAGATGCTTCAACCTTTTTATTTCTCTTTCTACCTCTTTGTTTCTCTCTCCTCTCTTTCTCTAATTCTCCATTTTTATTATGTATTCAATCTTATCTCCGATTTTGGTTTTTTTTGTCTCTCCTTTGATTTCGCAAAATTGAAAATAAAATAAAAAAAATTAAATTTCTTCATGTTTCGCAAATACAGAAGCACAAAACCGAAAAAAAACAAAAAAAAAAAAAAAAAAAGAAGAAGAAAAGAAGTTACAACTATTGTTTATCTCTTTCCGATTTTGTATCTATGAAAAAAAAAAAAAAAAAAACACACACACGCATTTAGAATCCCCTTTCAAACACAAAATATGTTTTCGGGCGGAGTCAGAAATTAAATCCAGAGAGGGCATAATGTGAAAAAAATAATTTAATAAACATAAAAACAAATATAGATTCTTCAAATTATAAAGAGGCATAGAAGAAAAAAATTATTGCAAAATAATATGTCAATCAATAATATAAAAAGAGAAATAGTTGACAAAAATTAAAAAAAGGAAAGAAAAAATGAGAGAACTTTGAAAGGAAAAAATGATAAAGTTAGACTTAAAAAGGAAATTTAACTTTTTGGTAAGGAAATAAAATGAATTTAAAGAGTAAGAGAGAAAAAAAAGTAGAAACTTAAGAGATAATTTTAGAAAAGAAAAATTTAAGGGAAACATTATATGTATTTTTTTATATATACATACAAAATTATATAAATTTAGTATCTATATTATAGTATGCGGGGCTAGACCAGGGCATGTGCCCTTTGAACATACACCGGCTCCGTCCTTGTTCCTTTATGACATTGCAAGATTTGTGAAATCACACTAATTTTTGGTTTTAGCAGGATTCTTTGTGTTTCTTAATTTGCAATCTTTCAACTATATCATATTATCCGGTGACCCATTGAATTTTGATTTCACACCTGAGGGACAGGCTAAGGGTTGGTACTTATTTGACTTCATCTCCACAACCCTTCAACTATAAATATTCTCTCAAATTGAATTTAACCTAATTTTCAGATAAAATTTATAGACTTTTTCAACTATATATATGTAGTACATCATTTTATTAATTACTTACGGAGTAATAATTTTAAAATTATTAGATATATTGTAAGTTGTCCCTCGGATTTGATTGAAAGAATTAACACCGCCGCCTTGCAGTGTAAGCCTAGGCTAAAAAATTTACATAAAAAGAAAATTAAAATATATATATAAATTTATGAAATACTCCTATGTATATGTGTATATATATATTTCTGTCGTCTCGATATCCGTGTCCTAAACTTTCTATTTCTATCTGATAAAAATTCTGTTTGTTTGTCACAATATTCATATTCTTGGCAGGTAAAAAAAAAATACACTACGTCACTACTGTTCAACGGTAAATAACCATGTTACGGTTCCTATTTGTACTGGCTTTCCTCTTTTAAGTATGTTCTCTCTCTCTCGCGTATATATTATATAACCCACAGAAACCTTTTTACCCTAGACAGAAAAAGGTTATCACCTCAGTCTATCTCCCTCTCCGATCTGAACCAAATTCACCAAATTCAGGTACACAGCTCTTGTACTCGAATAAACGGATCTTTATATCTATATTCATGCAATGCTTTTTGCGAGATTATCTCAAGTTGAACAAATTCATTATAATTCAATAAAAATTAGGGGCTTTATCAATTTTTTTTAATGTATCTTATAGTTGGCGTGATAGTTAAGCTGGGTTTATTAGGGTGTTGATTGCTTTTTGGGGATCGGTCAATAATGGCGGCGGCGGTGCAGCAACCACTATCAAAAGGACCATGCAAAAGCAATGAATTTTCTTCAACATCGTTGACATGACGAATTAAAAACTAAATACCTAACGGTTAAAGGCCTACTTATCTTATGGAATAATTTAATTGTATTTCTTCCAAAAGCTTGACTTGACTAAATACATATGTGATTGCAGAAATTAAAAATCATAAATGAGTATAATTAAGTTCTTTTCAAAATCAACTCATAATTAATTTTATCTGAAAAAAAAAAAATTCATTGACGAGAACTTGATAGAAAAAATCAACTCATAATTAAAAATCATAATCGAGGGCATGATAGCAATATCAAAAGCGTTGATTTATTAAATATTCTGAACTGATTTCTTACTAACTCGTAATTGAATAAAATAATAAATTTTTGTTGGAAAATCACCACTACATTTAGTCTCCAATTAGGTGCCCCAATGCCCACAAATGAAGCGGTCTACCGTCAATTTTGAATAGAAACATATAATGATGATCACTGGAAATCTTTGTTGAAATTGAGAGAAAAGAAAAGGATAAGAAAATTATAATAATGAAATATCTTTGTTTCTCAAGCGCTGGGAAATTGTGGGTAAGCCAAACACTGAATGGAACTCAGGCGTTGACATTTTAAATTTTTTTCACTATGAAGTTTAAAGAATAGTTAGAAAAAAGACTTTAAAGGTTCCTGATAATTTCGAATCTTATCAAGTTTAAATTTATTGCCCTTGATATTTCGAGCAAAAATTATTGTCATGGATCCTTGATGCTGAGATTCATCTCGATGCCATGGATCTTGGGCATACAATTAGAGTAGATAATGAAACGTCCCTGTAGGATTGTGCAAAAATAATGATTTTTCTTCGACATTATTTACATAACGAATTAAAAAATGAGTACTTAATGGTTAAAGACCCACTCATCTTGTGAAATAATTTAAAAGGACGATATGAGTATCAGAAAAATGTATTTCTTCAATAGCTCTATTTGACTGGATCTATCAACGATTGCAGGATTTTAAAACCACAAGTGAGTATAATTTAATTAATTTTATGTAGAGAAAAAATCACTGACGAGGACATAATAGAAAAAACATTCTCTACATTTCATGTCTCGAATGTACTCCTGCAACAGCAGTATCAAGAGGGTCGATTTATCAAATATTCTGAGCTGATTTCTTACTTACTCTTGATTAAACAAAATAATGAACTTTGTTGAAAAATCACCCCAACATTTAGCCTCCATTTTGGTGCTTCAATGCCTACATCAATTGCAGCAGCCTACGGTCAATTTTGAATGGAAACATATTATGATGATCACTGGAAATCTTTGTTGAAATTGAGAGAAAAGAAAAGGATAAGAAAATTATAATAATGAAATATCTTTGTTTCTCAGGCGTTGACATTTTAAATCTTTTTTCCCTATGAAGTTTAAAGAACTGTTGGAGGAAAGACTTTGAACGTGTCGATGGGGCTTGAGAAGTGGTTTTTTTTTTTTGTCTTTTTTGTTTTATTATTTTTATTGTTAGGGTGAGTAAGCCGGTAAGAGCCATGGGATGATTAATCAAGCTTAAGGGTGCAAAAGTGGCCCGCGACCCACTGGGTGGCTTGAGCCCCTGAAGGGCAAGCCGGGCCTAGCCCTATAAGATGGCGGGACAAGCCTGGTATAGGTCTTGGCCCACTACCTAGTTTGTAAGCCAGCCAACCAACACCCGTAAGCCCATCCACCGAGGCCCATAATATCTTTTTTTTTTAAAAAGACGTATAATAAATTTTTGTTATTATAGTAGAATTAGAAAAAATATATTGTGCGACTTATTATGATGAGTAATTAGAATGTGTTTACAAGTAGTTATAATTTGAGACGGGTCAGAGAAAAATATATTGAATTTTTAGTTTTAAAATATCATGTATTTAGGGAGGTATACAATAATTTAAATTATAATCTATTAAATTTTTTATGGGTGAAGTTTATGCAAGAGTGGTGATCTCTTGCTCCCCATGAAGCAAGAAAATTCTTCTGCACTTTTTAGAGTGACCATTAGATTAAATCTAATGGTCACATTCTAAACCCACCTATAGACTTTCCTTATAATAAAAAACCACTATCACTATTTCTAGTTTCAAAATTTAATATTTACAAATACAATTAATTATAACAATAAAAGATAAGTACTAAAAAAATAAAAATAGAAATCTCTTCACCTCTCCAAATCACACGTCTCACTAAAAATAAAGTTGACATTGTCTCTTTGAGTGTGAGAAATAAATTAAAAATTGCACTATTGACATACAAAATAATGAAACATCAACTAAAAAATAATTAAAAAATTAAAAATAAAATGTCTATTTTTTTATCCACTTGATCAACTTAATGTAATCTGTGATTTGCATAAACTTCACCCATAAAAAATTTAATAGATTATAATTTAAATTATTGTATACCTCCCTAAATACATGATATTTAAAAACTAAAAATTCAATCTATTTTTCTCTAACCCGTCTCAAATTATAACTACTTGTAAACACATTCCAATTACTCATCATAATAAGTCGCACAATATATTTTTTTTAGTTCTACTATAATAACAAAAATTTATTGATGTAAGGACGAGATTTAAGACAAAACATGCTATTATTTTATGAAATTTCATATTTTCTTTGTAAATTAGTTGTTTTTTTTAGTATTTTCTTTAATACTGCTATTATTATACTATCATTATTTTTACTTTTTTAGTACTTGCCTTTTAATGTTATAATTAATTATATTGGTAAATATTAAATTTGGAAAATAGAAATAATGATAGTGTTTTTATAATAAAAGGAAAGCATATAAGTGGGTTTGGAATGTGACCATTAGATTAAATCTAATGGTCACTATAAAAAGTGCGGAAGATTTTTCTTGCTCCATTGGGAGCAAGAGATCACTGCTCTATATATATATATTGATACCTCTTTATATATAAATACAGAAAAAATAAAAAAAGCGAGTATTGTTATTCCCAAAAATAGTTAGTTGTTTTTGGTGTTTTTTAACCCAACTATTTATCTTACAAGCAAAGATGTAACGGTGAATATGTACTCATATTGGACTTTTTATCTAGGGTTTTAAATGACACCATAGTAAATCTATTACAAACTTTCAACAATTTTTCTGGATAAAAGTGTTTGAATATACCACCATAATAGATAACATATGCAAATGAAATTATTCATTTAATTGATCTTAGTAGAGCGAAATTTGTGTTTGATCATAGTTACCTTCCATGTTTAGAAGAGGTAGCCAATGCTGACTATGTATTTTGATCTGTTAATAATTTTTTTTTTCTTTGTCGGTAAGTGATTTGTTAATAATTTGTTTATTCTTGTTTTTGGATAAAACAAAATTTCATAAATAATGTGGATAAATGTTTTGATAAGAATTTTTAAAAAACCAATATGAGTTGATAAAAGGTTTGACCAACATTCCCAAATAATCTACATGCTCATCAAAAGATCATCAGCAAATAAGTTATATCAAGTATCACAAGAAACTAAAAGGACATGTTTGATTTAGTTTTCTAATTTTTAGTTAACAAATTTTAATTTTAAAATATTTGTTTTCAGTTTCTTCTATAGTTTTATTTCTATTTTTTGAGTGGTACCACCAAATACACCCAATGCTTTCGAAAGTTTATTTATAATAATGCTTTAAAGTGTACGAATTACGAATGTAACTATTTATAGGTAACAATCAAAATTATTTTGACAATATTAATAACCTTTTCACGTTCTTACATAAATATGACGACAGTTTAAAGTTTTTTTTTTTTTTGATACATGGTACATAGAGTTTAATTTTCATAAAATTTAGAGGGAAGACGTGGGGTGATGACAACTTCCAGTGGGGTTGCCTTAGGCATCGTAAGACCCAAACCTTCAGTCATGTCCACAGGTTCACCATTTGGTGTAGTGAAGTTGAACCCCTGAAGCAATCGAGCCAATGTCAAGTGTGTCACTTGCAAGGCCAATTTGATCCCGGGGCAAGATCGCCTACCGGAGCCAAATGGGATGAACTCAAAATGCTGACCACCAAAACTTACCTCTGCTTGGCTCGTCAAGAGCCTCTCTGGCATGAATTTGTCAGGCTCTGTCCACACACGCGGGCGAGTGTTCTTTGGGATGTGATAGCCACTCACATTACAGTATTCCCTGGCCTGGTGCGGTACTGCTAAGGGACCTGGTGGGTACAGACGTAGAGTTTCTTTAACAATTGCCTGGAGGTAGACCAAGTTCTTGATGTCGGATTCTTCTACCCGTCTCTCTGTGCCAACTTTGGAGTCTATCTCTTCTTGGGCATGCTTCAAAGTGTGAATATTGTTCAATAAGATGGACAAGAGCCATGTCAAGTTAATATATGTGGTGTCTGAGCCTGCTAAGATGAGGATCTTCAGGGCAAGAATGTTAGAAACATAATAAGAAGCAGATACATCAAATCTATGCTATATGTGTCTTTTGATATATTTTGTATACACAAACAAACACCAATCAATAACCAAGAAATGTGCTTCCCAACTATTTGGGTTGGCTTCTATGGATCAAGTACTATTTTATATGGCAGTACTGTTAACAGCTAACTGTGCCAAAATAAGAAGTAGATTTGGACTCTCTATGATCATCTTAAGATTTGGAAATTTTGGTTAGTAATGAAAATGAGTCAGGGTTAACACTTGTCTCTAGGTTTTTTAGGTCTTAGCCTCAATTTTTCATCTAAATAATGAATTAAGTTAAAACTTTTGAATTTTCGGTAAGATTTACCTTTTCATATATATGACTGATGAAGCCTATTAGTTTTTATACGAATATATAGAGCAATGCGATTAAAGTAAATAGTCACGTCGAATAGTCTGGTCTAATTAATTACTACTTTAAGATGTCTTAAACTGAATATTTATCTTTACAGTTTTTGAACATGAATCTAAAGACATACCAATATAGTTGCCTTGATAACAGTTTGTTTTGTGTGGCCGTAAAAGAATTCATCATCAATTGCAGAGAGCATCACATCTATGAAGTCCTGCTTATCACCCCTCATTCCCAATTCCCTTGTGAAGATGTTCTTGAACCCAACTCTCAAAAAAAGAATCTAATTATTTTCCAGTTCTCTTCATGGTCTTCCTCAAGTCTCCTAGCACATGTTCAATCCATCCAAACAATGGAAATGGAATTGCATCTGACAATACAAATGCCCCACTTACATACATAAATTCCTTCATTACTCTTCTGAATCACCGTGTCTCTTCATCATCCGTGGAATATCTCTTACCTGCAATCATCTTCACAACAATATTCAAAGTAAAATGTTCAAGCCACTGACTGATCAACACCCTCCTGTTGTTGCTCTTTTTGGCAAGCAAGTGCAACTCTTTAATGCTAGTGTCCAATTCCAAGAATCGGACATGCCTCAGTGTGTCAAGTCTGCGACTTGAGAGCAACTCGAGAAATGCTAGTTTGTGCATGTCACGCCAAAGTGGCCCATAAGGCGTGAACCCGAAGCTTGCATAGTTGTAGCCAAGGTACTTGCCAGCAAGGTCGAATCCATGAATTGTCAATGGGGAGATTAATATTAAATAAGAGAGAATTGGGGATCGAAAGATTAAATAGTTGAAAATTTTTAGAGGAAATAAGATTAGACTTTAGAGGGAGAGAAGAAGTGAGCTCTCAGATTTGTGCGAAGATTAGGAATTTAGAAGTTCTCTGTACTTTGACTTAGTGATTGTTTAGGGCTTATTTGGTTTGGACCTATTTGGTTGAGTCTTTGTTTTAAAATTGTGGCTTAGATATTGTGCTTGTTTGGATGGGTTAAAATTAAGGGGTTAATACTACTACTATTTTTTTTTTTTTTTTTTTTTAAATATTGGGCTAAATATACCTATATTATAAATAAATTTTTTTTTTTTTTTTTGGGGGTGCTCGATCCCACCCAAGCCCCCTCGGTTCCACCACTGCTTGCCAGCACTATTAGTAGGCATTAAAGTGAAGGGTATGTCATTAGTGGTGGAAGCACTCTTTGACAGCTTCCCAACTGCTTACCACGAGTGCACAGTGCACCCCGAGCCCGATTGTGAAGATGGGGCAGATCCGAACCACCGGGGTCTCGCCGCCTAGTTGGTGGAGGTGACCTAGTAAAGGCCATGCACCAGATGTTTCAGGAGGGAGTGATACGATGGTCTTTGTAGTGGTTTGGCTGTGATTTCTTGATCTCCATAGACTGTACGACAGCAACAATGCTATGAGAGTACCAATTGCTTGTGGAAGAGAGAGGAAATCCATGAAGCAGTACTGTTTGAGTAATGAGATCACTTCTTTATTTTGAATATTCCAATTTGGTGTTATATTACGTGTATATATAATTAGTGTCTTTCTATTGAACTTGTTTAAACAAATATCTTAATTCCTAGTGGTACTTTAAAAATAATAATAATAATAATAATTGATAAATTACATTGATATGTTATTTAGCCTTTACTATTTTGATTTAAAATATTTTTCACATCTTTATCTAATTTAATAAATAAAAAAAATTATCAAACGAACCTATATATATATATATATATTAAAAAAGACATCTAATCAAACCCTAAAGAACACCTAATTAAATGTCATTAACCTAAAAAAAAAAAATTATTAATTTATAAAATTTAATACTAATATAAAATTAATATAAAAATTGATATTCTAATGACATTTAATGATATTTTCATATTCATATTGTATCTACCACACATCCGAAACTGACACGACTTCACCCCACTCTCTGTCGGTGCCTGTTCTCCATCAATTGAAATAATAAATTGATAATGCATGTTGAGCTTCTCCCATTTGAAATTTTGGTTTTCAAGTGCTCAGCGCTGCATGCTGTGAGTAGTTCAAGTCAATGGCCCATGGATTGAAGGTCCACAAGATTGGCATTTTTAGGAATGCAACGGGCGAAGGTCGGACAGGTTTGACTAAATCCTACTCCTCCTTATTAAAAAATTTGTCATATCAATTTTACTCTTATTTCGGAACAGGTTTATATTTGTTATACCATCTATACTCTTATTTCGGTAGACAAAATACCGACTTCGCCCCATATATTCCGTTTAATTGAGAGGTGCGCCGGGTTATGCCACTTTTATTATGTAAAAAAAAAAAAAAAACTAGCTCAATGTGTTCACTTCAAATTGGGCTGATAAATAAACTAGCCCAACTTTTAAATTACTAAGTATTGAATATTAATATATTAACAGTAAAATAACAAGAGTGTCAAAAATATAAAATATATATTTTATATATAAAAAAAATTAAAAGATACATATATAATCGGGGAGGGGTCATCACTAAATCCGTTCCCGCCCTAAACCCGCTTCCGATTTTCAATTATTTTACCATACCCGTCCTAAACACATTTAAAGGCTACTAAATCCACCCCATTAGGGGCAAGGGCGGGGGCATGGCGGAAACCCACCGAGTCAGAGGAAATTGCCAATCCCTAGGCTTTTTCTCATGTTAAATTCTTTTATGTCATTTAACAAAATAAGCAATTTTGGTGTGGTGGGAAATTTTCCTACCAATGAGAACGAAAAATTTGTCCATTAGAGGCCAAACAAACACTTAACGCTCCAAATACCAATACATTAGGGAAGAATTGAAGTCGTAAAAAAAATTACAAATTTAATTTGAATTCTATTTGTTATTGGGCTTAATCCGAATATTCTTGCAAATCTTATTATTTTTATTTTATAAGAACGCATGTGTCACCTAGTGATTAGGCAACTATTTCGGGCTTTTAAATATATGAACAATACTTGGGTCCAACCGAACTTCATCCAACCTACTAATGTGGTCCAATGGATCTAAAATAAGTGCCCAAAATTAAAAGTTAGGATTTAAAAGACATGTCCAAAAACGAAAGTTAGGCTATGCCCAATTTAATTTTATAATTAATTTTAACACTTGTCGCAATTTTATTGGATCACATTAACAGGTTGGATGATACTATATTGTTAGTAGTTCAACCAACCTGGATTGGATCCGAGTATTATTATTATTATATATATATATGAGGAGGCCCGAAGTGACATGGGCCGGATATGACTTGCAAACGCGACATCTGGTCCGTACAGATGGGTCAGGCCCATAGAAAGACACTGCCATATGGGCCGAACGTGAATTAGCCCATCAAAGATGACCAGAACTCATAGAGGAACGGGCCTATATCCAGCAGTCCATCGACATTTGTAAATA